AAGAAAAGAAAATATTTGCAAACTTCGCCTCTGACAGAGGTCTAATATCCAGAATTTATTAAGAACTTAAACAAGTTTACAAGAAAAACCAAACAACCTCATTAAAAAGTAGGCAAAAACCATGAACAGATGCTTTTCAAAAGAAGACATACATGTGGCTAACAAGCATATAAAAAAAGATCATTGCTAATGATTAGAGAAATTAAAAGAAAAACCACAGTGAGATACCACCTCACACCAGTCAGAATGGCTATTTTTAAAAAGTCAAAAAATAACAGATGCTGGTGAGGTTGTAGAGAAAAGGGAATGCTTATACTCTGCTGGTGGGAGTGTAAATTAGTTCAAAAACTGTAAAAAGCAGTGTGGTGATTCCTTATGGAACTAAAAACAATTATCATTTGACCCAGGAACCCAATAACTGGGTATATACCCAAAGAGATATAAATTATTATATTATAAAGACATATTCACATGCATGTTCATTGCAGCACTATTCACAATAGAAAAGACATGGACAGGCCCTAAATACCTCTCAATGATAGACTCGATAAAGAAAATATGCTATGGTCAGAAACTGTGGCCCATACCTGCAATCCCAGCACTTTGGGAGGCCAAGGCAGGTGGATTGTCTGAACTTAGAAGTTTGAGACTAGCCTAAGCAACATGGCAAAATCCTGTCTCCACGAAAAAAAAAAAAAAAAAAAATTGGCCAGGCGTAGTAACGCACACATGTAGTTCCAGATACTTAAGAGAATGAGGTAGGAGAGAATTGCTTGAGCCTGAAAGGTTGAAGCTAAAGTAAGCCAATATCATGCCATGGCACTCTAGCCTGGACAGTAAGGGAGACCCTGTCTCCAAAAATAAAAGATGTAGTGAAAACAAAGTATGATACATAGACATTATACAATACTCTGCAGCCTTTAAAAAGAAAATGATGTCCTTTACAATAACATCGATGAAGCTGGAGATCATTATTTTTAGGAAACTAATGCAGAGCCTGGGCACAGTGGCTCACGCCTGTAATCCCAGCACTTTGGGAGGCCAAAGCGGGCGGATCACCTGAGGTTGGGAGTTCGATACCAGCCTGACCAACATGGAGAAACCCTATCTCTACTCAAAATACAAAAAAATTAGCTGGGCATAGTCGTGCATGCCTGTAATCCCAGCTACTCAGGAGGCTGAGGCAGGAGAATTGCTTGAATCAGGGAGGCAGAGGTTTCAGTGAGCTGGGATCATGCCATTGCACTCCAGGCTGGGCACGAAGAGTGAAACTCCATCTCAAAATAAATACATTAATTAATTTAAAAATCAGACTTTATTAAAGATCTTCTGGAGAAAAGAATCCTGCAAAACAAGGTCTTCAACTTACTGTACGTATTAAAATTTGAGAGGTGCCTTCTAACCCAACATGTCCTTTCCATCTGAAAAATATTCACAACTCATTCTGTATGAAGAAAATACAGCACTGAAAAATATACATGTTGGCGAGGCCAGGCGAGGTGGCTCATGCCTGTAATCCCAGCACTTTGGGAGGCCGAGGTGGGTGGATCATTGCCGAGACCAGCTCGGTCGGGGAGACCCTAGCCCAGCCGTGCTGGAGGAATTAAAGACTCACACACAGAAATATAGAGGTGTGGAGTGGGAAATCAGGGATCTCACAGCCTTCAGAGCTGAGAGCCCAAAACAGAGATTTACCTACGTATTTATTAACAACAAGCCAGTGATAAGCGTTGTTTCTATAGATTATACATTAACTAAAAGTATTCCTTACGGGAAATAAAGGGATGGGCCAAAGTAAAGGGATGCGTCCGGCTAGTTATCTGCAGCAGGAGCATGTCCTTAAGGCAGAGATCGCTCATGTTATTTTTTTTTTTAGTTTAAGAACACCTTTACACAGTTTTCCGCCCTTGGTGGGCCAGATGTTCCTTGCCTTCATTCCGGTAAACCCACAACGTTCCAGCGTGGGTGTCATGGCCGTCACCAACATGTCACAGTGCTGCAGAGATTTTGTTTATGGCCAGTTTTGGGGCCAGTTTATGGCCAGATTTTGGGGGGCCTGTTCCCAACATCTCATGATGTCAGGAGTTCAAGACCAGCCTGGCTAACATAGTGAAATCCCGTCTCTACTATAAATACAAAAATTAACCAGTCCTGGGGGCAGATGCCTCTACTCCCGGCTACTAGGGAGGCTGAGGCAGGAGAATCGCTTGAACCCGGGAGGCATGGGTTGTGGTGAGCCAAGATCAAGCCACTGCACTCCAGCCTGAGCAACAGAGTGAGACCCTGTCCCCCTCCAAAAACAAAACAAAACAAAAAATATATATATATTTATATATATATATGCATATTCGTGTTCATGCCCTTAATTTTATACTTTATTATCTATCGTTATAAGAACTGATGTTGTGGATCTTATGCTATTCTTTTTTCTCAGAGAATACATTAGAGAATATTTCTGTGTTGAAAATTATTTTATTGGGTAATTTTAGTAAGTCTTATAAATCAGAGCCAGTCCTCTTTACTCTGTCATTACACCTTAAGTCGAATTAAAAATTATGCCCATGGCCACGTGGTAAAAACGTGTGTGTGTGTCAGTGACCACTGCAATTTAGAGATGTGGCCAAATAATTCTCTCTGGAGGAGTGGCATTGCCTGGACACTGCACAGCGGAATTTATATAGGGATGTGATGTTAGAGAACTACAGAAACCTGGTCTTCCTTGGTGAGGATAACTTAAGTACATAATTTATAATATATCCTAAAGGTTTTATTTCTCTTTTTTGTAGAATGTGTTGTAGTCATTTATTCTTTGCATAAGAGTTTCTGATCCCCTTTTCCCAGAAAATCTTCAAAATTTGTTCATTTAGAAAAGAATTCTTCAAGATGTTTCATTTGAATCCAAACTTTCCACATTCCTAAGTTGGGCTATATTCTTCACTCTAAATTAGTGGTAATTCCAGAAATGTAATGGCATAAAATATTGTTGCCCCACTTGAAAATCTAATTGCCACCACCAATTTTGGATTCAGTAGTACCAGATAGTAAAATTAAGAAACTTACAAATTGAAAGTATTTTCTAAATATTTAGAAATTTGTTATAACTTAATATTTTAGTATTAATTTACTAGAATATTTTATCACATCCTCTCTGCTGAGCACATTGCTAGCTTGTAATTAGAGAATATGAGCAAGATTCATGGTTTTTTTAAAAAATTTTTAATAAAACAGGTATTGTTTTCTCTAAGCAAGACCTGAACACCTGTCTGGAGCAAGGAAAAAACCTTTGACTATGAAGCGATATGAGATGATTGCCAAACCCCCAGGTAGGTGTGAGTGAAAATGAATACAACAGACGACACAGATAAGAGGTCCCAAGGTCAAAGAGAAAGCAAGTCTTAGATGTGATTTGGGAAGCTGTGTTCCAAAGAAAATAGTTCCTGGGATGCTGATATATATAATATATTTTACTCTCACAAATGGACATCGTCTGTCTTATGCTTTTAAATTCTCTAAGAATTCTACTTTTTGTTTGGTGAGCTTCCTTCAAGTTCAGAGTGAGAGCCAAAGTCATCTTCATGGGATATAAGAGACTGCACGATCTAACTGCTTTCCATTATTTTGGAGACACACAAATATCTGCATAATTTTGAGAAATTAAAACTATGTTTTAGTTGTCTTTTTGCATCAGGTCTGAAATGTGTGTGAGTAGCAGTTTCTGTTGCATTTTTTTTGTTCATTTTTCTGCATAGTCCATTCTGTTTTTATTACTATATAGCCTTGAAATATAGTTTGAAGTTGTAAGTATGATATCCTTCTGCTTTGTTCATTTTCCTCATGATTACTTTGGCTATTCAAAGTTTATTTTACTTTCATGTAAATTTTAGAATTGTGATTTCCATTACTGTGAAAAAATACCACAGGAATGTTGAAAGAAAATTTATTGAATCTATAGATTACTTTGGATAATATGGCACTGAAACTCTATTTATTCTTTCAAACCATAGACAAAATATTTTAAAATTTATTTGGATCTTCTCTAATTGTTGCATTTTTTTTTTGTAAAGATTTTTTACCTCCTTGGTTAAATTCTTCCTCAGAAATGTATTAATTAATGCCATAGTAATAAGATTTTTTTCTTCCTCTGTTTTATCAGATAGTTTAAGTGGATGAAACCATGTATATATTTGTATGTTAATTTTACATTTTGATAATTTACTGAGTGTATTTATTAGTTTAGATAGGTTTCAATGTACTGTTTATGGTTTTTTAAATATGAGATTGTGTGAGCCACAAACAGCAGCCTTTTACTTAGTTTTCAATTTCAATGGCTTCTATCGTTTCTTTGACTATTTCTTCTGCCACATACTTCCGGTGCTAGATGAAAATAGAAGCATCGACAATGGGCACAATGTAGTTTTGTATTGGTGTCTAAATTTGATGGAGCAAACGCTTCTTCATGTTTTCATAAACTGATTTTAGAAGGTAAAGATCTTCTTTTGTTGGGTCCTTAGGGTGATGAGATGCCCTCTGAATTTGTAGTGAAGAGGGATTGTAGCTTGGTCACAAGGCTGCTGGGTCTGCACTAGGGTCCACCTTTAGTTGACTTGGTACAGGGGCTTGGGTAGTTGTAATCCCCATTTTATTTTTGGACAGACTGAATGTCCTTCAGGACTTTGCTCCACAGGGCAGACATTGGGGCAGGTTTTTGCGGTTGGTTCTGCATATAATGGGCCTTATAGCAGGATGTGGATGAGTATGGCTTTCACTGAGTACCAGAGAACATTTCCTCAGGTAACTGTACATTTCTATATAGGCAGAACTGGCCACAAACTGTGGCTCACGTAACTGAAACTGAGACATTGAGCTGCTTCAGAAACCAGAGTAAAGGCCAATGTCTGCAGGTCTGCCTATGTGGCTGTAAATGGGTGCCATTGCACTCCAACCTGGGTCACAAGAGTGAAACTGCATCTCAAAAAATAAATGAATAAAAATAAAATAACTGAGAACTTGTTATAGGCTTTGCCACATTCTTCATATTTGTAGGGTTTCTGTCTAGTATGAATGATGCGTAATAAGGGTTGAGAACTTCCTTAAAAAGTTTTGTCGGCCAGGCACGGTGGCTCATGCCTGTAATTCCAATACTTTGGGAGGCCAAAGCAGGCAGACCACCTGAGGTTAGGAGTCTAAGCCCAGCCTGACCAACATGGAGAAACCCCATCTCTACTAAAAATACAAAATTAGCCAGGTGTGGTGGTGCATGCCTATAATCCTAGCTACTCAGGAACGCTGAGGCAGGACAGCCGCTTGAACCCAGGAGGTAGAGGCTATCGTGAGCCAAAATTGCACCATTGCACTCCAGCCTGGGCAACAAGAGTGAAACTCGCTCTCAAACAAAAATAAATAAATAATAATAATAAAATAAAGCTTTGTCACTGTAAAGGTAAACTGAGGCTGGAGCCGAAACGGGAACAAAGACACAAGGCAAATGGCAGTGAGAATAGCCTTTTATTAGGGCTTGCGGGCAAGGTTCCTCGGTCCAAAGGTGTGGGCCAAGGAAGTTGCACTGAGGGAGGAGGGTAGGGGCTTTTAGGTAGGGAAGCTGGTTGTGCAAACACGGCCTGGGGGGTCTTGAAACTACTAGGGCAGGAGTTGAGTAAGGGTCATGAGGGAGGGGTCTTTGGAAAATGTCAACTGAAACTGCTGTTTACGAACTTGTGGAATGCAGGTGAGCTGCAGGTCATGGGGGAGTGTGACTGCCCAACCAGAACTCTGAGGCATGTAAGTCTGCGGGTGTGTACAAGGGTGAAGGGAGTCTTTAACAAAAGGCCTGCTATGCCGGGTAACGCCGCCATGTTGGGTCTAGATTCCTGCCTAAGATTCCGACCTCTTTCTAATAAGAAAATAGGGCGACGTGTTCATCTGCCTGCTTCCTGCTGGTATGGGTCATCGGGGCGTTCTTCGGAGGTCGGAACTCGGGTATAGGGGTGGAGCAGCATCTGATTGAAAGTGACCTGGGAGACTTCTTTCATGCAGTCCTGGATGAAGCAGAGGATACAGGAAGCTATGAGTAGTAAGAAGCCAATGATTAGTAAGGGGCTTAGAAAGGGTAGGACTTAACTGGCCACAGATGACTGCCACCACCTAAGTGAGGGCCTTGATCCGAGGTTTTTCTGGTGGAGTCTTTCCCGAATCTTTTCTAGAGTGAGGAGATTGGTTTCTACTAGTCCTGACTCATTGATGTAGTGTTCGGCTGGGAAGGGGAAAGGAGGGGGTTAGGTTAGAGGAGTTAAAAGGGCTGGGTAAGGGTACCGCAACCAGTGGGGACTTATTCAAGGCTGCACACAAGAAACAACGAGAGATGTTGTGTACCTCGGCCATGTGTACCACTTGAGCCCCTTCCCTGACTAAAGTTAGCCAGGAAAAAGGGTTGCTGCCGTCCTGGGGCTTGCTGCCTGGGCTAGAGCTGAGATGGCTTCCTCCTGTTGTCTGATGTCAGAGGCCAGGCTGATGAGGCTGCTTATGACCTTGATGTAGGCCTTAAAGATCCTGAGTCGGGCCATGGGGTAAGACTCACTGTGCCCACCAGTCCTAGGAAGGACAAGATCTCTTCCGCATCTTGAGGAGGCTGGAGAGTTTCAATGAGGCTTATTCTATCTGCTGTGAGGCTTTTTGTAGTGGGCATGAGGAGTATGCCTAGGTAGGTGACAGAAGGGCTGCAACATTGAGCCTTAGCCGGGGTAACCTGATAACCTCGGTCGCCTAGAAAATTTAAAAGTGTAGCAGTATCTCTGCAAGGGAGCACTCCTAGGAAGGACTACATAGTAATAAGTCATCAACATACTGCAATAGTGTGCTGTGGGTCAGGGGACAGAGGACAACATCCTGTGCCAGTGCCTGTCCAAAAAAATGGGGGCTACCACGGAACCTTTGAGGCAAAACAGTCCAAGTCAGCTGGGAAGAAATATGAGTGTCTGGATCTTCCAATGTAAAAGCAAACAGAAAGTGGCAGTCTGGGTGTAGAGGGATGGTAAAGAAGGCATCCTTCAGGTCAAGGACAGTGAAATGAGTGGTGTCAGGGGGAACGCATGAGAGGAGTGTATATGGATTAGGAACAACTGGAAAGGTAGGGACTACTGCCTCATGGATGAGGCGTAGGTCCTGTACGAGACGATAGGCCCCAGAGCTTTTCCGTACAGGCAGGATAGGAGTATTGCACGGTGAGTTGGCGGGAACTAGAATGTGCTGCTGGGGCAGGTGCATGATGATGGGTTTTAGTCCCTGTCGGTGTTCAAGGGAGATAGGGAACTGGGGCCTAGAGGGAAACTTAGAAGGGTCTTTTAGCCAGATGCGGACCAGAGTGTGGTGGCGGGCAATGATCAGCGTGGAGGTGTCCCACACCTTAGGGCTAATGGGGACTGGAAATGGGAGTGGGGGGGTCAGCCTGGCGGGGTTTGTCAGGTGAGAGAAGGGGGAAGAGGAACACGAGGTGTGGGGAGGGGTTGGGTCGGAAGTGAACTGAGGTCCCTAGCTTGGAGAGGAGATCTCATCCTAACAAGGGGACTGGGCAAGAAGGAATGATAAGAAATGAGTGTGAGAAGAGGGAGCCATCCAGGTGGCAAGACAGAGGAGGAGTCTGGCGGTAGGTGGAGGGAGTGCCATCAATTCCCATGACTGTGACAGTGAAGGGTTGGCTGGGGCCACTGAAGGAAGGCAAAACAGAGTAGGTAGCCTCTGTGTCCATAAGGAAGAATATGGACTTACCCGCTACCTGGAGCATAACCCTGGGCTCAGCGAGATTGAGAGGGGTCCCCGAGTCTGGGTCTCTTCAATCTTCGTCAGTGTCGACGAGCTGGAAGGCGCCTCCAATACCTGGAGGAGGGTCATCACGTGGAGGAGCAGCGACCGTCCTTAGGTCGGGGCAGTCTGACTTCCAGTGGCCCATCTGCCACAGTTCGGACAGGGGTGAGTTGGCTCCTTTGGGTTAGGGCACTGCCTGGCCCAGTGGCCGTCGTTGTCGCACTTGAAGCAGGCACCAGGTGGCCCTCGGGTAGTACCTCCTTTTTGGGAGCTCCTGGAGCTGGCCGGCCTCAGGGCTGCTACCAAGGCCTGGGTTTGGACTTGTACCTTCTGTTTTAGCCTGGCCTGTCATTGGGCTTCAGATGCTTCCTCCCGGGAGTTGTAGACCTTGAAGGCCAGTTTGACCAAATCCTGGATGGGAGTTTGAGGGCCTTCCTCCGCCTTTTAAAATTTTTTTTGGATATCAGGGGCCGACTGAGAAATAAAGTATGAAGCTAAGACGGCTCCTCCTGCAGGGAAGGCAGGGTCAAGACGGGTGTACTGAATAAGTGACTCTGTCAGCCAGTTAAGAAAAACAGCCGGATTTTCATCTGAGCCGTGGACTACCTCCTTTAACTTATTAAAATTGACTGACTTATTGGAGGCTGCCTGCATGCCAGCAAGAAGGCATTGGACCATCATATCTCGGCAGTGGCGGCCTGCCTGATCAACCTGCTAGTCCTAGTTGGGCTTGGCTGAGGGCACCGCCTCAGTGCCAACTGGCATGGTGTGGTCAGTTAAATGAAATAAGTCAGCGTACTGCCTGGCTGTCACTAGGATACGCTCCCGTTCCTTAGGGGACAGGGTTGAGGTCATAACGACATGGGGATCATGCCAGGTGAGGTCATACGCCTGGCACAGTTATCTGAACTTTTTGAAGTACTGAGTAGGATTGGCCAAGAAAGAGCCTACATGCTCTTCAATCTTAGACAGGTCTGCCAGAGAAAACAGCACATGAACCCGGACTACTCCTTTGGCACCTGCCACCTCTCGCAAGGGACACAGGAGGTGGGTCCTGGACCGAGTATGGGCTGAGACAGGCGAGGAAGGGGAGGAGGTGGAGGTAGGGGAGACAGAATCTGTCAGGTTTGGCGAGGGCACAGGATGGGTGGAAGGGAGGGGAGGCACTGACGAGGACAGGGATAATGGCGGGTCAGGGTAAGGAGAAGGTTGGGTGGGAGACTGAAGGGGTGGCCGGGATAGGGTGTCAGGAGGCTCAGAAAAAGAGGAGGAATCATCCCTTTCCTTGCTCGGGGGAAGAGACTTTGCGAGTAGGACCTGAGCTAACGAGCACTGAGTGCAGAGATCTGGGTGAAAACGCAAGTCCTAAAAGGCTTGAACATAGGGTATCTCATACCATTTGCCTAGTCTCTTGCAGAAGTTGGTCAGATCTACGAGGATGTTAAAGTCTAGAGTGCCTTCTGCAGGCCACTGAGACTGATTACCCAATTTATACTGCGGTCATGCTACTGTGCAGAAGAACATGAGCCACTTTTGTTTTAGGTCTTGGCTGAGACTTAAAGTCTGGAAATTAGCCAAGAGGCACCTCAGAGGGGATTTTCGGTCTGGTTTGGACTGGGTAGTTCCCATGATCCTAAGGCGGGCAGTCCGGTGGCAATGGGAGCGTCCTCTCACTGCCACGTGGAGTGCGGGGTACGGTGGCTTCCAGGGAGGTTGGACATCTCCTAGTCCCCAGTGCTGAGGTCACAGTTGACCAGAGAGAGCCCCTGACATGGTCGCACATTTTGGACAGGGACTCCTGGAGGGAGCCTACAGGACGGGGGAAAACTTACCCAGCAGTGATCGAATTGAGTCTTGGATTTGGTGAGACGGCTCCCGGCTCGGAAAGGAGGTCCTGGTTCGGGGAGAGGAGAGCCTGCCTGACCCGGCAGGGGTACGGGGAGGGGGTCTCCTCCTGGGTTTCGGCACCAAATGTAAAGGTAAACTGAGGCTGGAGCCGAAACGGGAACAAAGACACAAGGCAAATGGCAGTGAGAACAGCCTTTTATTAGGGCTTGTGGGTGAGGTTCCTCGGTAAAAAGGTGTGGGCCGAGGAAGTCGTACTGAGGGAGGAGGGTAGGGACTTTTTATAGCCCAAGAGGTAGGGAAGTTGGTTGTGCAAACAGGGCCTGGGGGGTCTTGAAACTACTAGGGCAGGAGTCGAGTAAGGGTCATGAGGGAGGGGTCTTTGGAAAATGTCAACCGAAACTGCTGTTTACGAACTTGTGGAATGCAGGTGAGCTGCAGGTTATGGGGGAGTGTGGTTGCTCAACCAGAACTCTGAGGCATGTAAGTCTGCGGATGTGTACAAGGGTGAAGGGAGTCTTTAACAAAAGGCCTGCTACGCCGGGTAACGCCGCCATGTTGGGTCTAGGTTCCTGCCTAACAGTCACATTCTTGGTTAGTGTCCAATATGAATTCTCTTATGTTTATTAAGGAGTGAGGACCAGTTAAAAGCTTTGCCACATTCTTTACATTTGTAAGGTTGCTCTCCAGTATGAGCTGCCTTATGTTCCGTTAGATTTGAGGATGTAGTATAGGCTTTGCCACATTCTTCACATTTGTAGGGTTTCTCTCCAGTATGAGTTCTCCTATGTTTATGGAGGCCTGCAGACCATGTAAAAGCTTTGCCACATTCTTCACATTTGTATGGCTTCACTCCAGTATGAATGATCTTATGCATAGTAAGGTGTGAGGAACGGGTGAAGGCTTTGTCACATTCTTCACATTTGTAGGGTTTCTCTCCCGTATGAATCTTCTCGTGTTTACGAAGGATTGAGGATGAAATAAAGGCTTTGCCACATTTATCACACTTGTATGGTTTCTCTCCAGTATGAATTTTCTTATGTGAAGAAAGAGTTGCAGGATGGTTAAAAGCTTTGCCACATTCTTTACATTTGTAGGGTTGCTCTCCAGTATGGATTATCTTATGTGTAGTAAGGGTATAGGAGTACTTAAAGGCTTTGCCACATTCTTCGCATTTGTATGGTTTCTCTACAGTATGAATTTTCCTATGTGTAGTAAGGGTATAGAAGTACTTAAAGGCTTTGTCACATTCTTCACATTTGTAGGGTTTCTCTCCAGTATCAATTTTTTTATGTGTAGTATGGGGTAAGGACTGGTTAAAATCTTTGTCACATTCTACATATTTCAAAGTGTTTCTTTCAGTATGTCTTCTCTTATGTCTCTTTGAATTTGAAAATTGATGAAAGACTTCCACATATTTACCACATTGAAATATTTTGCTCTGGGTAGTTGTCAAACATTGGTTAAGTCCATTGTGACCTCTTTTGTGTACCTCACACTCATCCACGCTTTCACAGCCTTTTTTAAACTGTAAATTGCCATGTCCACATTTTTCAAATTTTCTAAGTATCACTTTTTGGAAAGAATCTTTTATGCTCTGCTCTGGCCGAAGGTCTTGGGCAAAATGAGAACACAAAACTGAAAGAAACAACAAAAACACATTACTTCAATTGCTAGACTCAGATAAATACACTTTACAAATCTAACCTATAAAGTTATAAAAACTACAAAAACAAGATGACATAGCAAAATACCTCAAGCTGTAATTTCTTCCTGGACATATAAATGTAACAAAAACATACTGCCCAAAATACATTTGTGAAAAATTTATAAATGAGTTAAGTGTGTGAAAGGCCCCGGGTGAGCATAAAGCAAACAGTCACAAACAAGATAAAGAAAAGTCTGTTACTTATATGCAACAGCTCTTCTTGCTCCCCAGCATAACACTGTGCCTCAAAAAGTAAATTGCCAACCTGGTGCAGTGGCTCACGTCTGTAATACTAGCGCTATGGGAGGCTGATGTGAATCACTTCAGGTCAGGAGTTCAAGGCCAGCCTGAATAAGATGGTGAAACCTATCTCTACTAAAATTACAAAAAGTTAGCTAGTTGTGGTCATTGGCAGCTGTAATCCCAACTACTCAGGAGGCCAAGGCATGAGAATTTCTTGAATCCAGGAGGCGGAGGTTGCAGTAAGCCAAGATTGTACCACTGCACTCTGGCCTGGGTGACAGAGCGAGACTCTGTTTCAAAATAATAATAATAATAGAATAAATTGCCAACAAGGCATAATGGCTCATGCCTGTAATTCCAGCAATTTGGGAGGGCAAAGCAGGAGGATCACCTGAGGTCAGGAGTTTGAGACCAGCCTGAACAACATGGTAAAACCCCATCTCTACTAAAATACAAAAAAATTAGCCAGGCATGGTAACAGGTACCTGTAATCCCTAGCTACTTTGGAGGCTGAGGCAGGAGAATTGTTTCAACTGTGGAGGTAGAGAATGTAGCCAGCAAAGATCATGCCACTGCACTCCAGACTGGGTAAGAGTGAGACTCTGTCTCACACACACACACAAAAATATAAATTGTGCCAACTCCTGGTTTCCTTTTTAAAAAACAGTGTATGTACATTGGTACATACATCTTTATTTCTGTCTTCTAGGGGCTTTTTTAGACACCAGATAATGTGTCCCATGACAAAAAATGCTGAAAACAATGGTGATATACATTGGAATGACAGTTTGCTGCGTCTAAAGGTAAATTATAGAGAAGCAGAGAAACTGCAGTACCCCAAACAGGGAATGGGTGTAGCAAGTGATTACTGACTATTAAGAAGAAATACAAATAAGCTGATTTAACTAAACAATAAACACAAAATTTTAGACAAGATTCATCCTGAAAACATGTTTGAGAAATTCCCAGAATCTCCAGCCAAGACAATTGATTTCAGACTACACCAGGACAAAGCTATATTATAAAGATTGTAACAGGTAGCTTTTTGTTAATTTCCAAATCTCTATCAAAGATTGTAATATATACCAAATATTAAAACAACATGGCCCCATCAAAAAAATTTTCAAAAGCATCCATAAAAAGTATATAAAGTAATTTTTAAAATTCCAAATGAATTGAACAGCCCAGTGTTGGTGGCTCATTCCTGTAATCCCAACACACTGGGAGATCAAGGTGGGAAAATCACATGAGGTCAGGAGTTTGAGACCAGCCTGGCCAACATGGTGAAACCCTGTATCTACTAAAAATACAAAAATTAGCTGGGCATGGTGGCATGTGCCTGTAATCCCAGCTACTTGAAAGGCTGACACAGGAGAATTGCTTGAACCTGGGCGGGGAAGGTTGCAGTGAGTGGAGATTGTACCACTGCACTGCAGCCTGGGCAACAGAGCAACACTATCTCAAAAATAAAATTAAAAAGGCCAGGCACGGTGGCTGATGCCTGTAAACCCAGCACTTTAGGAGGCTGAGGTGGGTGGATCATTTGAGGTCAGCAGTTCAAGATCAGCCTGGCTGAGATCACACCACTGCACTCCAGCCTTGGTGACAGAAAAAGACTCTGTATAAGAAAAAAAATAGAAACCCAGACAACTACTGAAAATCAGAAAAATGAGAATAAAAAGAAATACTAAAATACCAAAAAACCAAAAATTGTGGATATAAAAAACACAAAAAATAACTGAAAAATTTATTAAAAGAAAATATGATATAAACATAAAAAACTGTATAAACAAACTTAGATACACACAAATATATTTATAACAAACACACATATAAGCAAAATTTCAAAAATCACATAATGATGTTCCATTTATAAGCATAGTCACGTGCGATAACCAGTGAATTTTTTTTTTTAGACAGAGTTTCACTCTTGTTGCCCAAGCTGGAGTGCAATGATGTAACCTCAGCTCACTGCAACCTCTGCCTCCAGGGTTCAAGCGATTCTCCTGTATCAGCCTC